AAGCTTTTTCCCAGCAAGCAACTCCTCTTTTGTGTGCTTCTTCAACTTTGCTTGCAGCATGGCCCCCAGATGCTTCTTTGCTCCTGCCTCAAAAGAGGAAACCTAAGCTGCAGAAGACTTTGGCCTCTCTGAACTTGTCAAAAGGAGAAAAAGAACAGCAGCAGGAAGCAACTGAACATATTGATGAATTACAAAATGATATAGACAGACTTAATGAACAAGCCAGTAAGGAGATTTTGAAAGCAGAACAGAACTATAACAAACTCCGCCAACCATTCTTTCAGAAGAGGTCAGAACTGGTCACCAAAATCCCAAACTTTCGGGTAACATTTGTCAACCATCCACAGTGTCTGTGTTGCTTGGGGAGGAGGATGAAGAGGCACTGCATTATTTGACCAGAGTTGAAGTAACAGAACTTGAAGATATCAAATCAGGTTACAGAATAGATTTTTATTTTGATGAAAATCCTTATTTTGAAAATAAAGTTCTCTCCATAGAATTTCATCTGAATCAGAGTGGTGATCTGTTCTAAAATCAACTGAAATCAAATGGAAATTTGACAAAACACTCAAGTCAAACACAGAATAAAGCCAGCAGGAAGAGGCAGCATGAAGAACCAGAGAGTTTTTTTTTACCTGGTTTACTGGTCATTTTGATGCAGGTACAGATGAGTTAGGAGAGGTTATCAAAGATGGTATTTGGCCAAATCCGTTACGGTACTATTTGGTTCCTGATATGGATGATGATGGAGGGGAAGGAGAAGAAGATGATGATGATTATGAAGAAGAGAAGGTTTGAAAGATATTGATGAAGAAGGGGATGAAGATGAAAGGGAAGAAGATGAAGATGATGATGAGGGAGAGGAAGCGGAGGTGGATGAAGGAGATGACGACTATTAAAAACACTGATGGACTCCAACCTTTTGAAAATTTTCTTCAGTCCCTGGGACAAAGTTGCAGTCTTTTATTTTTTTCCTTTTCTTTTCCTTTCCCCATCTTGTGTTCAGTTGCCATGTTCTTGAGGTCTCTTTTCTCTCCTCTACACTGTGGTTCTCAATTTACTTTAGGGAGAAACACCTTGAGCAGATAACAGTGGGAAAAGAATCTCTACTCCTTTCTGTTCCCAAATTAATTTTTATCTCTTCCTGTCTCAACAAAAAACTATGGAACCAACACACCACTGTGCTCTGTGGGAAAAAAGAAAACCTCTACTCCCTTTGCTCTGCTGGAAGCTGGAGGGTGCTAGGCTCCTGTGTAGTAAGTAGTGCACAGAAGTCTAGTTTCTTTCCTCCTCTCTCTGTATATTGGGCTCAGAGATTACTCTGTGTCTCTATGTTAATATGGACAGTTAGCATTTACCAACATGTGTCTGTGTCTACTTCGTTTAAAAAAAAGAAAAAAAAATCTTAAAAAAAAAGGGGGGGGGGAGATTATAGAAGGTCAGTAAAGGGTGGGTGTGAAATGTTTGGGTGTGTTAAGTGGGCATTTTGACAACATGGCTTCTACTTTGGCATGTTTAATTATGATGCTTAATAGACATCCTTGCAGCTTAAAATAAAACTTTGAAAAATAAAATAAAACTCTCCTAATGATGAATTGAAAAATGAAGAGGAAAAGACCAAAATGGATGTCAGAAGAGACTCCAGACATAGATAGGCTAAATCAAATAGAAGAAACGAGGAGATAAAAGAGCTGAATAGACAATTGCAAGATGGCAAAGCCAAATATTATAATGAAATGTACAAACACCTGGAGTTAAAAAACCAAAAGGGAAGAACATGTTGAGCATTTCTCAACCTGAGGAAACAAGAAAAAATTCAAGCTTTGACTTGCAATACTGAAGGATTCTATGAGCAAAATATTGAATGATGCAGAAAGCATCAAAAGAAGATGGAAGGAATGCACAGTCACTGTACCAAAAAGAAATGGTCGATGTTCAACCATTTCAAGAGTTAGCATAGGATCAAAAGCCAGTTATACTTAAGAAAGAAGTCAAAGGTGCATGGAAGACCTCGGCAAAAAACAAGGCTATTGTAATTGATGGAATATAAATTGAAATCTTTCAACAAACTGATGCAGCACTGGAGACACTTCCTCATCTATGCCAAGAAATTTGTAAGAAACCTACTTGGCCCACTAATTGGAAGAGATCCATATCTGTGCCCATTCCAAAGGGATTCATGTTTGTGCCCATTCCAAAGGGATCCATATTTGTGCCCAATCCAGTGGAATGTAGAAATCATCAGGCAATATCATTAATATTAAATGCAAGTAAAATTTTGGTAAAGATAATTTTTAAATGGCTGCAACAGTACATTGACAAAGAGCTGCCAGAGGTTCAAGCTGGATTCATACAAGGATGTGGAATGAGGAATATGATTGCTGATGTCATATGGATCTTGGCTGAAAGCAGAAATACCAGAAAGATGTTTACTTGTGCTTTCCTGACATTCAATTGAGTGGATCATAAACGGAGAATGAGTATTCCCACTCCTTATGCTCATAAGGAACCTGCACATAGATGAAGAGGCAGTTGTTTGAACAGTATAAGGGAACACTGAATGATTTAAATTAGGACATTTAAAGTAAAAAAATTCTTTCACCATACTTATTCAATCTGTATGCTGTGCAAATAAATCGAGAAGCTGGATTATGTGAAGAAGAATGTGGCATTAGGATTAGAGGAAGTCTTATTAACAACCTGCAAGATGCAGATGAAAACAAAGAGAACTTAAAATACTAAAATACCTTGCTTGCTGAAAACAAAGAGAACTTAAAATACTTACTGATGAAGATCAAAGCCTTTGGTACTGGATGCACCTCAATATAAAAAAAAACAACAAAAAACTAAAATCCTCACCACTGGACCAATCAATAACATCACAATAAATGGAGAAAAGACTGAAGTTGTCAAAGATTTCATTTTGCTTGGATCAACCATCAACACTCATGGAATCAGCAGATAAGAAACCAAATGATGTATTGTATTAGACAATTGTGCTGCACAAAATCTCTTTAAAGTGTTCAAGAGCAAAGATGTCAGTTTGAGAACTAAGGTGCATCTGACCCAAGCATGGTATTTTCAATATCCTCATATGCATGTGAAAGTCGGGCAATGAATAAAGAAAACTGTAGAGAAGAACTGATGCATTTGAGTTATTTTTGGAGGAGAATATTGAAGGTACCATGGACTGCCAAAAGAACAAACACATCTGTGTTGTAAAAAGTACAATGCAAAAAAAAAAAAAAGTACAATGCTCCTTAGAAGCCAGGCACAGGTTACCAGGAGATACTAATTCCTGGAGAAGGACATCATGCTTACTAAAGCATGTTGGCAAAAAGAGACAAAGACCCCCCACAGAGATGGGTTGGCACAGTGGCAGCAGCAATAGGTTTAAGCATAGAATGTGAGGTTGGCGCAGTACCAGTTAGTGTTTTGTTCTGTTGTACATAAGGTTCCTGAGTTGGTACCAACTAGACGGCACCTAACAACAACAATTTACCTCTGCTGTAAACACAACTATGAATGTGGTGGAACGTAGAGTGGGAAAAATGATGACAATTTCTTAGGTATTATCAAACATCTTAAAGCAATGAGTTCCTGGGCCTGGGGGCTCAGGATCATTGTCTCAGGGGACACTATGGTCCACTGGCACAATGACAATGCTCTACATTCTACTTTAGTGAGTAGCGTCTAGGTCTTAAAAGCTCATGAGCAGCCATCTAAGGTGCAACCAGGGATCCTCTCCATATGCAGAAAAAAGGAGAATGATGAGAACTGTACATGCCTAAGAATAAATTAGTCCAAAGGACTAATAGAACATGTGAACATCAGTCTCTATGACTCTGAGACTAGATCTAGGTGGTTCCTGGCTACCACTGCCAACTGTTCTGAAAGGGATCACATTAGAAGGTTCTGCACAGAGTGGATGAAAATGTGGAACAAAGCTCAAAATTATTTAAAAAAAGCAACAGCTTTCAGTAGTCAGAAACTGGAGTAACGTGAGTCTATGGCCCTTGGCCACCCTTCAGGTCTGGAAAGGCACTCACCTTTGTGGTCTAATTTCAGCCAAGCAGTAGATACACATACGGGAGGTGGGGGGAGGCGGGGGACAATAACACTAGTAAGGTATGCTCACCATGGAATGGTCAAAGAGGCAGCATTTACTTAAGGACAAAGTTGAGAAGGGATGGAAAGGTGGGCAGAATGGAAATAGGAACCACAGGGAGGAAATGGAATAACTGTTGTTGCAGGGAGGAGATTACAATCATCGAGATGAACCAAAGTGTGTGATTTGTTGAACGTAAAACTGATGATCTTATCTGTAATCCTTCATTCAATTCACAATAAAAGTCAAAAAATAAAAGAGGTGTGTGTGTGTGTTTTACAAAAACCCTAGGGAGCAGATCTACTCTGTCCTATAGGGTCATGGTGAGTCAGATTCAACCTGTGGCAGTAGGTCTTCCATGGATGCAACCATCAGTGGGCTCCACCACCTGCAGGATAAAATGTACACTCTCTCATCCTGTGTATGCCCTTCAACTCATTGCTCAGCCCTGTGCCTTGGGGTCTCCTTTGGCTGGCCCCTCACTGAACACTCGCTTCCTGTGCGGCCCCTTACCTACTTACTGTGACTCAACCTGGGAGCTTGTCTCTGAGTGACTTCCTCAGACAACTTTTTCTGACCCCTTCACAGCAAATCACTCCCCTAACTGCTGAGTACCTATGTTCTCTTTCACTGTAAGGCCCACAAGAACAGGGTGTCTTCTCTCCCTGCACTCCAGATGCAGCACAGCCAGGACTCAGTAAACATCTGCTAAAGAAATTTCAGCCTCAACACAAAAGCCCCTGTGGCCCACCAACCAGGCCCCACCTTGCAGGCTTCTCTTTGGCTTTATAAAGACAGCTCCCTCACACCCTCCCCATCAGACTTCAGGGATCCTCTCCCACCTTCCCTATCCCCTTGGTTGAAGGCAACCATCTGAACATGGGCACCTTACTTTCCTCCTCTTCCTCCAGCTCTTCCCCTAGGTAGCCAGGCAGAGGCGGTTCAAATACTTCTGGGTATGAGGGTTCCCCAAAACTGTCATAGGAGTCTTCCTCTAGGTGTCCATCATGATGATGAGGATGTGGCAAAGAGAGAAACAAGCACAGTTAAAGGGCACCCCTCAGCTCTGGGGAACAAGCTTCAAGGGGTGATCATACTCTCCCACACCCACCAGCCACAGCAGCCCCTGGGACCAGGGAGGGAATGAAGCCAAGTGAAGCTGGGGCCCAAGGCTGGCAGCCCAACCCTTCCCAGTCTCCAAGACAAGTCTCCAGAAGGTCTGGCTTTGGAAGACACATCTCCTTCTGCCCTCACATTTCCCTCCCATACCCCAAGAGGCCAGGACAGGAAGAGTGGGGAGCATGGGGGCGGGGAAGACGCAGCAGAAACATTCTTTGGCACCCACACAGGTTGGGTGCAGGTGAGGAGGTACATCCAAATTCCGAAAGGCTCTTGGCACCATGACACTCACCCATTTCTGGATCATAGGGGAGCTGGAGGGCTCCTTGAGAGGAGGGTTCTGGCTTGGCCATGCTCACTGTCCACACCATGGCAGCTATGGGAAAAAGAACAAGAAGTGCTACCTGGGGCTGTCCCAGGCCTGGAAGGCAGTGGGGCAGTCTTTGTCCTCAGAAGCCAGCACAGGACCCTTTGTTCACATGGTATGTGTTTATACTACATAGTTAGGAGGGATTGGGGGCTGGAGTCCCAGACTCATGGTGTAGGTGTAGGCAATCACTAACTTTTCAAACAATTAGTGGCCTCACAAACAAATTACCTATGTGGTGTTAATGGTTAAGAGCTCAGCTACTAACTGGAAGATTGATGGTTCAAGTCCATTCAGAGGGCACCTCATATGAAGGGTCTGGTACTCTAATTCCAAAAAATTAGCTAGTAAAAACTCTACGGAACATAGTTCCACCCTGACACGTGGAGTTGCTATGAGTTGTAATCAACTCAAGTGCAACTGGTTTGGATTCTTTTCCCCCTACAAACTGCAACAACGGTATCAGCTAACAGTTCTGTTTAGCAACTGTCTTTGATATCTCTGATCTTGAACTAAATCAATTTACCTCCAACTCTCCACCTGAGTGTCTGATGAGCATCTCTAACTTAATATGCCCAAACCACTCTCAAACCCATCCCCCAACAACCTGCCTACCCACAATGTCTCGCTCTCAGTACATCATTTTAGCGGCTTAAGCCTAAACACTGATGTCAGTCCGACTCTCTCACACACTTAGCAATCCACATATCTTGTCAATACAATCACTTCTACTGCTATCCCTGGTCCAAACTCCATCATCTTTCTCCAGGGTTATTATATAGCCTTCAGGTCCCCAACTTTTATTTTTGTTCCCCATACATTTTATTCTGTACTTAACCTGTGTTACATAAAGTCAGGGCAACCTAAAATCTTCCGATGACTACAGCCAAGTCCTCACGAAGGTCAAAAGTGGCCCGGACCCTCTCCCCATTCACTGACCTCTTCTCTCCCTGCTACCCCTCATCTGTGTTCTAGTCACACTGGCTTCCTAGGTTCCCTGAATTCATGGGCACATTCTGCCTCAGGGCCTTTGCACCTGCTTCTTTTCCTTCTGCCTGGGATGCTTTGTCCTAGGTTTTATCTGAATCAGGTCTCTGATCAAATATCAGCCTTATTAGAGAGCGCTTCCCTGACCACCCTATGCAAACCAGTACCTACCTACATTAAAGCCCTTTTGTCCTTTATCTGCTTTATTTTCCTACAGCACTTATCACCTGACTTAATGTGTTTGTCTATTTCATTACAATATGCCCCACTTCTAGAATGTGAGCTTCATCAGAGCAGAGACCTCACTTTGTTCCTTAATGAAGCCCCAGATAACAGACACCATACAAACAGCTATTCCAGGCACTACCCTTAGTCTTTACACACACACAACCCTCTACTCATCCCCCACACCCAAAGTGCCTGCCACGAGCATTCACTCCCTGGGACAGGATGCTAACAATCTTCTGCCATAATCTTCATTTGTATAGAAATTATCTGGCACATTAGCTTCTTCTAGAATCCCAGATATGCAGGCTATTTAAATCAACTACCCCATCTTAGAAATCTGGGGAGGATGGGTACAAAAGTCATAGGACTTTTCTGTGGAGATAGGGATCATTTGGGACTTGTGTCCACTGCAATGCATTGGCATAGCATCTGCCAAAGAGTGGGGATTGGGCATGCATGTATCTAATGCATATATATACATAACCTTAAATTCCTACACACTGATACCTGCCCTTCAGAGACAATTAACATCAGTCAGTCACTCATGTGCTGTCAAGGAAAAACTTGTTGCCATTGAGTTAATTCTGACTCATGGTGACCTCTTGTGTCAGAGTAGAACTGTGACACAAGGTTTCAACAGCTGAGTTTCTTGAAATAAGTGGTTAAGTCTTTCTTTCAAGGAACCGCTGAGCGGACTTTAATCACCAATCTTTTGGTTAGCATCTAGATATATTAATTGTTTGCAACACTTAGGGATTGTGAGGGACCCCAGTGAAAAGCCCCTGGCTCCCCTACTCTGAGATCTCTCCAAAGTCTCTTCTCTGGAGCTTGGAGAAAGCCGGGAGAGGGGTTGGGCCAAGGCTTCAATGGCTGTATGCTCACAGGACGTAGCCTGTACCCATCACAGGCCACTGGAGAATGGATTTGACGAAGGACAGAAGCAATGGGTGGGATCTTTGATGCACCTTCCTGCTGTAACGCCCTAAGCCATCTCCTGTGTAGTAGCAGACAAGGCCATCAGCTTCTCTGAAAGGTGAGCACTTCCTGGGATCGCCAAGGCCACCCCTCCCCTTGGGTTTGGAAAAGGACAGCTGTCTTAGTTACTCTTAAAGTCCCAGGCAGTAGCAGTCCCTCACATTCCTGCTGGCATCTTCTGACCTCCTGTCAGGCAGACATAGGGGCTACTCACAAGAGTATATCAGAGCAGGGAAAATGGGTTCGTTTCTCTCCTGGGCAGTCTCCACCAGCATCCGCAGTGGCCCTTTCGGGCACAGCACAGCCACAAGATCTAGGAAAACAATGAAGTCCTTGTCACATGAAAGAGATATTTATTCTCAAACGGCTCCCAGAAAGATGAACCAGCCCTGTGACATAGGAGCACGGTACAAATGATCCCAGGGTCCCAGAGCAAGCCTCAGAATGCATTCTGAAGTTTAGCTGACACCCTAAACCCACCAAGTCCAAGTCCCAGTCTACAGCATTAACAGCTGCTCTACAAGGAACAACTGCTGCCTGGTGCAAACAATCTATCCATTCAGCTGCCAAATGCACGGTTAGTGGTCTGAGTCCACTCTGATGAACCTTGCAAGAAAGGCCCCATAATCTACGTCCAAAAAAAGTTACTCACTTAAAACTATGGAGTACAGTTCTACTCTGACACACATGGGGTCACCACAAGTTGGTGTGAATTCAGTGAACTACTGCTGCTACAAGGAAAACCCATGCATCTCTGATACTTAGAGCATGTGCTTAGTATGGGGTTGACTTCTACTCTGCTGAGCTTCAAATTCCTTTTATTTAAATGGAAGTAATAATATTGGTAATAGTAATCATGCTAATGCTAATCAAACAGAATCTAACATTTTGGGGTATTCATTATTTATGAATAATGTCATAAATGTGTCAAATGCTTTTATAGTTGATCTGCAAACAACTTAGTGTGTAACATGTTTCAACAGTGCCTGGCACACGGTGAGTGTTCAATAAACACTTTCTTTTAGTAATCATGTCAATAATACTAGAAAATAGAGTTTTATTTCTAGAACACCATGAGTCTATGGGACTCCATGTGCTTATGAAAGTGATGGGATGGGAGGTGACCTCCCCACCACCTGCCACCCTGTGCATCAGTAAGTTTGGCTCTGCACAGAATCTTGCCTCCACTGTCTGGCTCACATATAGCATCTATGAAGATGGTCTTTCAGACAAGCAAGGTGGCAATGGTCTTCCCCATTCCTCCTCCTGCTAGCATTTTTAGTTCTCAGAGCAAACCACCACCCCAATTCAAGCCTGATATTCATCAGCAGGGATAAAGAATTACACAATTCCACCTAGGAACATCCCAGAATGTCTGACCGCCTCCTTTCCTTGTATGCTCAAATTAAATATCAAAATCTACATTGTGCTTCCTATAATGGGTTACATGACAATAAAACCTGGTAGGGAGAGGCCCTCTTTGTCCCTCAGCTAAGGGTGCCAGGTGTAGCATGTGTAGCAGAAGTTTTCAGTTCACCTAATCCTACCTACCCAGCAGGACTGATATAAGGCAGGTCCTTGAATTTCTCGCCTAAGGTACATGTGAGGCATGTGTACAAGAGTTGTCCATCTCCATCTGGACATCTTTTGAGCTGGGATGTACTGTTCATCAAGGGATGTTTACTTACTGCTGCATACTGTCTACTTCTTGTAATTAAAGATATTTTACATGTGTAATCAGTAGTTGGAAAACAAGGTCTTGGTGACAGATGCTGGCAACCACATGATAAAATTTTGCAAGATCAATTATTTATTTATTACAAATACCCTTTTCAAATAGCGTAAAAGGTGATTATGCAATTGGACCTCACCAAATGGAATACACAAGAATTATAATGGCTACATCTGTGGGAAGAGACTATAGAGAAGCTCAATATTATCAGCCAAAATAAGACCAAGGGACACTTGTGGAACAGACCTCAATTGCTCATATGAAAATTCATTTTGAAGCGGAAGAAAATTAAAGCAAATCCACAAGAACCAAAATATGACCTTGAGTATATCTCATCTGAATTCAGAGACCATTTTAAGAACAGATTTTGATGCATTACACACTAATGACCAAAGACCAGAGATGTCCTTGAATGACATTAAGAACATCATACATGAAGAAAGCAAAAGGTCATTAACAAGACAGGAAAAGAAAGACAAAAGTAGATGTCAGATAGAATGAATGTAAAACTAATGTTCTCCCATGTAAACTACCATATAATTCACAATAAAACATTTAAAAAAAAGTATATGTCAGGAGAGAATCTGAAACTTGATCTTGAACTTAGAGAAGCTAAAGTAACTGGAAGAGTGATGAAGTAAACGAGCTGAACAGAAAATTACAAAGTATTATAATGAAAGGTATAAAGATGTGGAGTTAGAAAACCAAAAAGGAAGAACATTCTCAGCATTTCTCAAGACGAAGGAGCAAAAGAAAAAAATTCAAGCCTAGAGTTACAATACTGAAGGATTCTATGCACAAAATTTCGTATATATGCTGCCAAATCACTACTTATCTGTCAGTTTGTTGTATTGTGGTGGCTTGTGGGTTGCAGTGATGCTACAAGCTATTCTACCAGTATTTTAAACACCAGTAGGGCCACTCATGGTAGACAGGTTTCAGAGGAGCTTCCAGACTAAAACAGTAGTTATCTACTGAAAACTTTATGAATAACAGCAGAACACTGTCAAATAGAGTGCTGGAAGATGAGACCCTGTTCTTTAGCACTATATTGGTTGGAAGGCACTCAAAATATAAGTAAGAAAAAAATGCCTCCTCAAAGTAGAGTTGACTATAACGACATGAATGGAGCAAAGATTTCGGAACTTTTCATCTGCTAAGATGATGATGCAACTTAAAATAGGAATAAACAGCTGCAAACACATATTAATAATCAAAAAGTGAAATGTATGAAGTATGAATCTAGGAAAATTGGAAATCATCAAAAATTATATGGAACATATAAAGATGCATATGCTAGACATTAGTGAGCTAAAATGGACTGGTATTGAGTATTTTGAATCAGACAATTACGTGGTTAACTATATTAAGAACAACAAATTAAAGAGGAAAAGTGTCACATTAATCATCAAAAACACCATTCAAGATCTATCATAAAGTACAGTGCTGTTTGTGATAGAATAATTTCCATACACCTACAAAGAAGACCCGGTTTAGTGCTGCACTGTACTGCTAAACTCAAGGTTGGCAATTCAAACCCACCAGCTGCTCTTGGAAACCCTATACAGGGTTGCTATTAATCAGAACTGACTTGATGGCACACAACAACAAAAGGGAAAATTAGTTAATACCATTGTTATTTATGCACCAACCATTAAAGTCAGTGATGACAAAATTAAAGGATTTGGATTAATGAGCCAGACTGCAAAGCCGTTTGAACTGCAAGATCGGCGGTTCAAGCTCACCAGCTGCTCCTCAGAAACCCTATACAGGGTTGTTATGGATCAGAATCGACTTGACGGCTCTTAACAAACCAACGTCTTCAGTCTGAAATTGATCAAACATGAAATCAAGATGCAATGATAACTACCAGTGACTGGAATGGGAAAGCTGGAAACAAAGAGAAAAGATTCCATTCCAGTCACTGGCTGTAAAGATAGAAATGATGCTGGAAATTCCATGATAGAATGTGCAATGACTTATTATTGCAAATACCTTTCTTCAACAACACAAAAGACGACCTCACCAGATGGAATCTATAAGAATAAAGCCGACTACATCTATGAGAAGAGATGATGGAGAAGGTCAATCTCATCAGCCAAAACAAAGTCACAGGGAGACTGTGGGAACAGACATCAATTGTTCAATTGTAAGTTCAATTTGAAACTGAAAAAAATTAAAACAAGTCCAAGAGAACCAAAATATGACCTGAAGTATATATGACTGCAGTGGTGGTGGTGTGTTGTCAAGTAAGTTCTGACTTATGGCGACCCTATGTAGGCTTTTCGTGGCTGTAAATCTTTATGGGAGCAGAAAGCCTCATCTTTCTCCCATGGAGTGGCCGGTAGATTTGAACTGCTGACCTGAGAGTCAGCAACCTAACTCGTTAACCCACTATGCTACCAGGGCTCCTCAACCTTGAGTATATCCCACCTGACTGTAGAGATGATCTCAAGAATAGATCTGATACATTAGACACAAATGACTAACGACCAGAAGAGTTGTGGGATGATATCAAGGACACCATACATGAAGAAAGCAATAGAATAAAAAGACAGGAAGCAAACAAACGAGTCTGAAACTTTCTCTTGAGCATAATAAGCTAAAGTGACAGGAAGAAACAAGGAAGTAAAAAGAGTTAAACAGAAAATTCAAAGGGCAGCCTGAGAAGACAAAGTCAAATATTATAATGAAATGTAGAAAGAACTGGAGTTAGAAACCAAAACAAGCTCAGCATTTCTCAAGCTGACAGACTGAAAAAAAAATTCAAGCTTTGGGTTGCAATGTTGATGGATTCTATGGGTAAAACATTGAATGATGCAGGAAGCATCAAAAAAAGATGAAAGGAATATACAATCACATTATGGTATATGGGTCAATGTTGAACAATATCATTAATATCACATACAAAATTTTTTTTTCTGAAGATAATTTAAAATTGATTGCAACAGCGTATTCACAGTGAGCAGCCAAAAATTCAAGCTGGATTCAGAAAAGGATGTGGAACTAGGGGTATCACTGCTGATGCCAAATGGATTTGGGCTGAAAGCAGAGGATACCAGAAAATTTACTTGTGCTTTATTGACTATTCAAAGGCATTTGATTATGTGGATGTTGTCCATAACAAATTACGGATACTACTCCAAAGAATAGGTATTTTAGAACACTTAATTGTGCTCATGAGAAACCTGTGCATAGACGAAGAATCAGTCATTTGAACAGAACAAGGGGATACTTGTTAAGTGCCATTGAGTCAGTTCCAACTCATAAAGACCCTGTGTAGGGTTTTCAAGGAGCAGTTGGTGAGTTTGAACCTCTGACTATGTGGTTCAAACCGACTTACAGTCCACTGCTTATTCTACATTGCCACACCAGGACTCCAAGGGGATTCTGAATGGTTTACAATCAGGAAAGGTGTGCTCCAGGATTGTATCCTTTCACCACACTTAAAAATAATCTGAGAAACGAGATGAAGAACATGGTATCAGGATTGGTGGAAGGCTTATGAACAACCTTAGATGTGCAGGTGATACAATCTTGCTTGCTGAAAGAAAAAGGGGACTTGAAATCCTTACTGATGAAGATCAAAAACTACAGCCTTCAGTATGAATTACACTTCAATGTAAAGAAATCGAAAATCCTTACAAATGAACTTATAAACAATGTTGTTGTTGTTGTTGTTGTCAGGTGCCATCGAGTCGGAACCGACTCATAGTGACCCCATGCACAGCAGAACGAAACAATGTCCGATCCTGGGCCAACCTCACTACCGCTGCCACACTTGAGTTCATCAATGATGCCACCTGGCTTATCCATCTCGTTGGGGGTCTTCTTCTTTTTCTCTGACCCTCCACCTTAGCCAGCATGACATCCTTCTCCAATGATTGTTTCCTCCGGACAGTATGTCCAAAGTATGAGAGATGAAGCTTAGCCATCCTGGCCTCCAAGGAGCACTCTGGCTGCACTTCTTCCAAAATAGATCTATTGGTTCTTTTGGCAGTCCATGGCACTTTCAGTATTCTCCTCCAACACCACAACTCAAAGGCATCAATTCTTCTACGATCTTCCTTATTCACTGTTCAGCTTTCGCATCCATATGAGGCTATTGAAAACACAATGGCCTGGGTCAGGCGCACCCTAGTCCTCAAGCTGACATGGGTAAATAATACCCATGATAAATGGAGAAAAGACTGAAGTTGTCAAAGACTTTAATTTGCTTGGACCCAAAATCAATATTCATAGAAGCAGCAGTCAATACATCAAATCTGCTGCTAAAGACCTATTTTAAGTGTTAAAGAACAAAGGTGACATGCTTTGAGGACTATGGTACGCCTGACTCAAGCCATGGTATTGCTAACCACCTCATATGCATGTGAAAACTTGTCAATGAATAAGAAAGACCATAGAAGAATCCATGCATTTGAATTATGGTGATGGTGAAGAATACTGAAAGTACTGCAGACTGTCAAAAGAACACACAAATCTGTGTTGGAAGAAGACATAGTCAGAAAATGTCTAAGAAGCATGGATGGTGAAACTTCATCTCTCATACTTTGGACATGTTATCAGGATGGACCAGTCCCTGGAAAAGGGCATCATGTGGCAAAGTGGAGGGTCAGTGAAAAAGAGAAACACTCTGAATGAGATGGACTGACACAGTGACAGCAACAATGGTCTCAAAAATAAAAATTGTGAGGATAGTGCAGGATCAGGCAGCATTTTATTCTGTTGGGCATAGGCTGGCTATGAGTTGGAACTGACCTGACAGCACCTAACAACAATACTGTAGGAACATCTTGTATGTCCCAGCTCTAACTGGAAGGAAGTGACATTAATGGAAGAGTCAGTATTAGCAATTGCTGCCCTTTCTCTAACGGCCTCTGGCTATTTAGAAATCTGGGACAACCTGTGAGTGTAACACACCGTACACAGAGATGGCACCCAAGATGACCCAGGCGGACCACTCCGGGAGGTACTTGATGAACACCAAGGCCATGAGCGCGCTGATCATGATGAGGTAGGCCTGTTGCAGCAAGAGGGGGCCCTTCCAGTGGATGCACACCATGCCTACTGCCCCGAAGTTCCAGATGGTCAGGAAGAGGGTGGGGTAGTCCATGGCCACGTTGTAGGTCTTGAGTACTTCCCTGCAGGACCAAGACAGAGTCCATGGAGAGGTGAGAACCTGACACAGTTTAATAGTTACTGCTCTTTAACCAACCTATGTTCTTCCAACCTCTGGCAATACTTATTAATATTCTCTCTCCCCATTCCTACTGGCCTGACAGCTAACTACCTGATATACTTTCTGAAATAAGGTGGGGTGTAAACTGACAACTCCTGCTTGGGAAGGTTCACATAAACATGCACTGGTATGGCCCAGAAGACGCTTTTGCATAAGCAAAGTGTCTTGGAACATGTTTTCTTAGTGGTGCAAGTGATTAATAAACTTGGTTGCAACCAAATTGTTGGAGGTTTGATCAGCACTGGACCGCAAGGATAGTTTGACTTGAAAGATCGGTGGTTCAAACTCACCAGCTGCTCCTGAGGTACCCAGAGGTACTACAAAAGAAAGGCCTAGCAATCTACTTGTGAAAAAATCAGCCACTGAAAACTCTGAAACACAGTTCTACACAGACACAAATGGAGTTGTGACAAATCAGAGTTTCCTTGACAACAGCTGGTTCATCTGGCTCTTTGGGTTCCTGGCAACAGAGGAAGTAATTCTTCCCATAAACTAGTAAGTACCCAGGCTGGTCCAAACAGAAGAACTTAAATATTGCATGGTTTCTATTGCCCTTAGGTTCACAGCCAGTCTCCTCATGATGTCTTTGCTGTCGAGCCCACCCTGGAGCCCTTTTCTCCTTCCTGAGTAAGAAGACTATAGGAGGAGCCCCGAAACTGGAGCGGCTGACACTAAGGGTTCTGGAGCATAGCAGTCACCTTTGCCTGTCAGGTCCTATATACTCACATATGCCACAAAGAGGGGTCCTCACTTACCCGAGGTAGATGTAGGTGAAGAGGAACAGCAACATCAGGGAGGACATGATCAGCCATCCATGGATAAACTAGAAGACAGTAGCAGATAAAACCATCAGGAGGTCTCTGGGTCCTGATGCCTAAGCCTGAAAGTGGTTCTTAGAAAAACCCTTTGTGACAATACTGGAAGGTTGTTAGGAATTGAACTGTACCCCTACGAAATATTTATGGAAGTCCAAACCCCAATGGGAGTCTTCGTGTGGCACTGTAGGATCAGCACTGGACCACAAGGTTAGTTTGAACTGAAAGATTGGTGGTTCAAACTCACCAGCTGCTCCTCAGATACCCTATACAAGGTCAGTATGGGTCAGAACTGACTCTACAGCACTTAACAAAAACAACAACAAGCCCTTGTCAACATGACCTTGATTGTAAATATGGGTTTTCTTGTCTTATGTTAATGAGGCCATGCCTGAGTAGGGTGGGTCCTAAACCTAATCATTCCTGAGAGGTGTCTTATACAAAAGCTCAGACTAAACAGAGATAGAGACACACACAGGGGAAAGATATATTGTTGTTGTTGTAATGCCCCAGAACTATTGGGGACCTTCCCTAGACCTGATCCTCTGGATTCAAACTTCTAGCTTCCAAAACAGTGAACCAAAAAAATTCCTGTTTCTTAAAGACACCCACTTGTGGCATCTGTATTTTAGCAGCACTGAGAATCTCACACAAAGGTACTGGGTGACCTATTACAGGCATGGAGAGGAGGGCACAAAAATGCAAAGAATTCTCTGAAAGTCATCCAGCAAGTGTATAAAGGAGGAGAGATGAGGTTTGAGATCAACTATCACCTGTGACACTCTCCACTTATCTTTCCATTCATTTAGAAAGACTATTTCAAATGTTTGTGATGTGCCAGACACTGTTCTAGGCTCTGGAGATCAAATGAGCAAAGTCTTTGCCCACATGTAATGTACTCCAGTGTGAGAAACAACAGAAAACAGATGCATAAGTAAATATATATTGTACTAGCAGGTAATGATAAATGCTACCAAGAAAAACAAACACCAGGCAGGAGCAGGTGGCAGACTAACAGGGTGCTGTTTTCAGAATAATCAAGACAGACTCTTGACGGTTTTTTTTTTTTTAATGTGGTAAACAGATCCCTAACAATAGATCAATTGCTATTTCAACATTTTTTACATGTACAGTGACCTTAATTATAGTCATCATTGTTCAAGTACCAGCTTCTAAATTTTCCCATTACCCTTACCAGAAACTGAGAGTCCCCTAAACGAGTCCCTCTTTCCCTTTCCCATCTGCCCATGGTAACCACTAATAATCTTTGGCCTCTATGCATATGCGTATTCTTGATGGGATCATACAATATTCGTTTTCCTACAAATTATACTCAGCATTATGTTTCACGATTCCTCCATATTTTGGCATGTGTCAGGATTTCATTTCTCTTTCTGAGTAATATTCCACTGTATGTATGGGTACCACACTGTGTTTACCCAATCATCTGTTGATGGACATTTAGGCTATTTCTATCTTTTGGTTACTGTGAATAGTGTACAGAGCAGCTCATTATTTATTATGGCCTTTCTAGTCAAATTTCTCCATTTTATGATCTATTTATTGTAAATCCTAACCTCTATGGCTGTGATTTACAGCCTCGGAAACCCTGTACAGGGTCGCTATGAGTCGGAACCGACTCCACGGCACATAACAACAACAACAACAAAGGCTGTGATTATGACCCATTTTAAAATGAGTTGCTAAGGAGTAAAGATTATAGTGGAACTAAAGATTAAGGCTGCCCCCACCTTACTAGAGGGAGTGACTCAAGTCACCACCCTTAGTTCCCTTGGGGGCATGGTCTGACTTCAATTTACAAGACTGCTTTGGACAATCTACTCTCTTGTCCTGGATCGTCAATCTAGCTCATTACATCTGACCTCCAGTTTGTGGGACTTTTGGCCCATCACATGACCAGATTCACTAGCTCCCACTGCCTTGTGCATGAACAGCCTGTCATCTGACCTGCCGATTTAGGTTCCTCAGCTCCTGAGACTATGTGGGTGAGAAGATTCCTCCAGACTAATCTCTAACCTAAAAATTTGGGACTTGCCAGCCTCCACAATTGTATGAGCCATTTCTCTGGACAATTGTGAGTTTTGTGACACATTGCAGTGTGTTGCAGAACCCTGAAACTTGAGGGAAGAGAAGAATGGTGACTGATATCAAGGACTATGGAGAAGTATAACATGTCAGAAAAGTTGAACAGTTGGAGTATTTTTAACCTCCAACTCATAGGGACGAGTTTTGTGCTAATCTTTCTAAAAGAAATTATTCATGCAGTGGTGTCTGTAATGAACACTGATGTAAAGAAAGATGTCTTTGAAGAGAGACAACCCAGGGAGTTCCCTCCTATTTGAAGTTCACAGATTCTCAGAAAGGCATGTTGCCCTTCTCCTAGCAAGTCAACAGAGGAACAAGGATGAGGGTAGGGCTGAACCTAAATCAGCCCCTGAGCCAGCCATTAGCGGGGATAGTGGTGCCACTCCTTACCAGCCTTACCCGAGGACAGACCCATCCACCACCAGTTCACTGTGATGACATTGGCTGAGGGTAAGCTGGGAGCACAACTGGAAGGGGAAGGGTTGTCTCTGGAGCATGCTCCCCTCCATCCCACCACCACCTGCCTGCCCAGCCTCCATTCATGCCTACCTAAAAGCTGCTGGATCCTTGGAGCCCAGAAGGGGCCTGGTATAGAGGGAGGCTCATACACCTCACTGAGGAAATGACTGAACTACTTACTCTTAAAGGTCTCCCTCTATTTTCCACATCATGCTATTTCTAACTTGTTCTTACGTATGCTCCATGTATCCTCTGCCCCAAACAAGCATAACTTCTAGCCTGCTTAGTAAAGTGGAAGAACAGCAAAAAAGGAGATGGATTGGCACAGAGGTAGCAACAACAGGCTCAAGTGTAGCAGCAGTTGTGAGGATGGCTCAGGACTGAGCAGTGTTTTGTTCTATTATACACAGGGTCACTATGGGTGGGGAAAAGCTCATTGGCACCTAACAACAACACCCTGCTTCCTAACAGCCCTGCCCTGTCTCTCCATCTGCTCAATGAAGAATGACTATCTGCATTTAAACAGCTTTAAGTTAGGTGATGCCTAGCTTAAGAGTCTTTGGGTGCTGCAAACAGCTAACACACTTAACTGCTAACCAAACAGTTGGAGGTTCAAGTTCACTTACAGATGCCTTGGAAGGAAAGCTTGTCAATCTACCTGTAAAAAAATCAGCCACTGAAAATCTCATGGAGCACAGTTCTACTCTGACTCACATTGGGGTCTTCATAAGTTAGAGCTGACTTAACAGCAACTGATTTAATGAAAGGATTAAACTTCCTTCCATCTTTTAGGATTTCAAAGCTTTCCTTGGCTGGAAGGACTGGAAACCAATGTCTAAAATCATATGACATTTTCGGAGGACAAAATATGTACATAATTCAGACCATGTGGGACTCAGCTCCTCCAATACTCCCTGGGACCAACCCCAACACCTCCCAGTGCAGGAAGACCTCATCACAGAAATCTGTATTATATTTCTGTCCAAAAGGGAAATGGAAAATTAAAATAAATCTGGAGGGGAAGTGTCATGGTGAAGGGAGCTTAAAATAGAACTCCTTACTTCCTGGGAAGAAAAAGAAAACTAAAATTAACTTCTGTATAGGAGAAGTGACACTTCGTACATTGCATGAGGAACTCAATTCAGTAGACTGTGTGTTAATTTAAAAAGACTACAGGATTGGGTAATCCATGGTAGGGGGTCGAGTGGGATGGAGAACCAAAATTCACAGTCTATTTTGCAGAAGGAGTCCCTGGTTGGTAAAAATGGCTAACAACTGAAAAGTTGGAGGGTCGAGTCCACCCAAAGATGCCTTAGAATACACATGAAAATTCAGTCACTGAAAACCCCACAGAGCTCAGCTCTACTCTGACACATGAGAGGCTGCCATGGGTCACAGTTGACTTCACGGTAGCCAATTTGCATTCTGTTTTTAACAGGAAAGAAAAATTCTGTTTAAAAAAAATTGTGGTTTCATATAGGCTGGAGGGAGAGAAGGGCAGGCCTCTGGGTTCTCACCTTGTAGCAGCGGTACTTGTAGAGCACAACCAGGAAGATGGTCATGACCACGATGACACTGATCATGATGAGTGTGTTGAGCACAGAGTTGAGGAGGCGCTGGCCTACTGAGGGCGTGTCCTCAGTGAATGGCGTATATATGCTGGGGGGAAAAGGAGAGAGCGGATAGTCTCTGTTTCTGCCTGCCATGCACAGCCCACCCTGCTTGTGGAGGCACCCTGGGCACATCACATTGCTCCCAGTCCCACAATGGCTGGGCCTGTGCCTCTCTGCCTTAGGACTGAGCTCAGGGTAATCAACTCCAACTCATAGTGACCCCATGTGTGTGAGAATTGAGCTGTGTTCCACAGGGTTTTCAGGAGCTCAGTTTTTGCAAGTAGACTGCCAGGTCTTTCTTCTGAGGCATCTCTGAATAGACTAGAATCTCCAACCTTTCAGTGAACAGCAAGTCTGTTAACCATTTGTACCCTGCAGGGATTCCATGAGTTGGAGTTGATTTTATGGGAACTGGAGTCCAATATGGCATGGGGAAATAGACTGAACGACTTCACCTGTCCTCCTGCCTTGCTCACCTCCTCCCATTTGGACTTTAAAACCTTCCCTGGATGCATCCCCTGAACACTCCTCTGCTCCTTGCAACACTTCTCCATAATCAAACCTCCACCAGCTCACCCAAGCTAGGCCAACACCCCTCCTCCTGCTTCCCCTGCCCCCACCCACCCCTGTCCCAGTAGCCCAGTCACTGTTTTTACTGTTTGTTGTTGTTCCTAAGTGCTGTTGAGTTGGTTCCAGCTCACTAAAACCCTGTATAGGGTTTCCAAGGAGCAGCTGGTGACTTTGAACCGTCAACCTTATGGTTCAAACTGACCTTGCGGTCCAGTGCTTATCCTACAGTGCCATAACAAGACTGTTGTTGTTGCTGTTGTTAAGTGCTGGTGAGTAGGTTCTGACCCATAGCGACCTTGTATAGGGCTTCTGAGGAGTGGCTGGTGAGTTTGAACCACCAACCTTGTGGTTCAAACCAACCTTGCAGTTGAGTGCTGATCCTACAGCACCACACCAGGAAATCCATCCCAAGATGAGTAAACTAAAAACCAGAAATGAAGCAATTGATTCATAAATCACTCTTTCCAACACAGACTACTGAAAGCAAAAGGTTGACTACGTTCTTATCACTTTTCACCTGGATTACTCTGAATCCTCAGAGTCTTGGTGTGGCACTGTGGGATAAAGCACTGGACCGCGAGGTCACTTTGAACCACAGGGTGGGAGATTCAAACTCACCAGCCTTTCCTTAGACACCCTATACTGGGTCGCTATGAGTAGAAACGGACTCAACGGCACTTAACAACAACAACTCTGAATCCTCAACAGATGATAAAACTTTCTGGAGGTTTAGGGGTTGGGGTAGGCTTCTCTGTCTACTCTTTTTCAATCAAAACAAAAACTCCCTATTTTAAAAGAAGATGTTCAGGGAAGTTCAGCCCTCAGCAGTGGTGACCCTGGAGCCAATCCATGTGTCTAGGCTGCTTTGGGTATATGCTATTTTTACTAAAATAAACAGAAGGCTCTATCCGTCTCCTACACGGAATCATCTGGTAGAATCATCTCCTTTTACATCCAAGAAGCAGAAGCCCAGAGAGGAAGTAACTTGTTTGAGGTCACACACTGGTAAGTAACCCAGTTGTGATAGGAAACCCAACCCCTGGATGCTGGGCTCAGTGCTATGTGTGTGGACTCACCTTCTGTAATAAATGCCAAAGTGCCTGAGTGCTCATTCTGGGGCAGGCAATGTTCTAAGCCCTTTACATGTATTTGTTCATTGAATTTTCCCAGTAATCCCACAATTAAACCTTTATATGTACAGCTGAAGCCCTGGTAGAGTAGTGGATTACGAGCTGGGCTGCTAACCAAAGGTCAGCAGTTTGAATCTACCAGCCACTACTTAGGAGAAAGGATTTACAGCCTCGGAAACCCTATGCAGTGTTGATCTGAGTCGGAACCAACTCCACAGCACACAATCACTACCACTATATACAGACCAAGAAAGTGAGGCAGAGAGGTTGAGGACCGTGTCCAGGCAGGTGGACCAGAGTGTGAACTCAAGCAGCCTCTGGGGTGAGGCTGCAATTGGTGGATGGAGACCACACCCATCCCTGACCCCGCCCCCCACCATGCACCAACTCACAGCTGTCCATTCTTCTCTGTGTAGAAGCTCACTGACTTGATGGTAGCCACCACCACCACCATGCACAGTGTGACAGGCACAAACAGCATGATCACGTGTTTGGCCCCATATTTGAGGGTCAGCTCTTCCTCCAGGCCTGGGTGTCGCCCAGGCACTCCGCTAGAGACGTAGCGATCAGGATCCTCCTCACAGTCCGCCTCGGTCTCCTGGCTTCTCTATGGAAAACCACATTGTAAGAG